AAAAAAAAAAAAAAAAATAGTTTTTTTAAACTCCTGTTATTGAAGTGGTCTGTTAACAGGTTAGTGTTATTTTATATAAGTTGTGTGTTACAGGTGTACAAAGTTCGACTGCACATTTAACATTGGTATAGGTGACCTGGCATTTAATTCCAAGTGCCTTAGACACTGTCTTGTACTCATTGCTGAAAATAAACCATTGCACATACTTCTCTACCTTTTGTTTTTATTTTCAACTGATCCATGTTCCAGTTTAGGAAATATTCAAGTTGGACAAATTTGCATGTCCAAGATTGTATTTTTTTTTTTGACCAGGGCTTGGTTTGAACCCACCACCATGGGGCCCGGCACCCTACTCCTTTGAGCCACAGGTGCCACCCTAAGATTGTATTTTTTTTTTTTAATAGGGGCCTTTCAAATGAATCCCACAATGCTACACGTTTTACATTTAATCCAGAACAGATATGCAACTGTATAACATTTAACAAAATAATATTTGCTATTAGCACATAGTGTGCTGGTATTTTCTATTCTACTTTTAAGATGCTGGTCATAACCTACAAGATTGATTTCCTGATCCACTGTGGGTCAGTAGTACTCTGTTTGAAAAATGTTTTTCTGTAGACTAGGTAAGAACTTCAAGCTGTTCTTTAGCTGCCTCTTGATACCCATTGAGTTTTGTAATTTTTTGTCTTCTGGGCTTTAAGAGTGCTTCTTTATTTATTTAGAGACACAGTCTTACTCCGTGGACCTGGATAGAGTGTCTTGGCATCATGATAGCTCATAGCAACCTCAAACTGTTGGGTTCAAGCAATCCTCTTGCCTCAGCCTCCCAGAGTGCTAGGATTACAGGTGTGAGCCATGGTGCTGGCCAAGACTGCTTCTTTAATTTGGCATTTTCTTCTTTGCCCCTTGTCCTCTCTAAGAGCTGTCTGGTTGGTGGCAGTTCCCAATTGGTGGGTCTCTGGGTTCCAGAATCACATCTCTTGAATTCTTGCATCTGTTTACTGAGTTACACGTAGATGACAGATGCAACAAAAAAATGATTTAGTGACTTGAATGATGTATTAGAATCTTACAGAATGTTTGCATTCTCGACACGTTTGAAGCTTTTGAGGTATGACCCTTAATTAGGCTGGTGTGGGGCACTTAATCTTTTGTGGAGTATCCCCAGTAAGGGTCTTGTTCTGATAAGGCCAATGCCCACTTCACTTTTTTCAACCTTTCATTACAATAGTGTTTGTTTATCTTCCTATGTCATCTTTGTAATATTTAAGCATTGCAAGACCTGGGGGGGGGGGCTGCTTTACTTTTACCTATCAAGAAACAACATTGATCTACATGGTGACATATTACCACACTGGTAAGTAGAGACTGGTTCTTCCTGATGGGACTAAATGGCAGCCGAAGCACAGGTGCACACGTTGCCATCCTAAAGCCTTTGGGTCCTTGGAACAAGTAGAATATGAAACAGTGAATGCTTGATCCACTTTTTTTCTTGTAAGGAGTAACTAAGGGATGTACTCAGTGTATCATTTGGATGCTTTAGAAATCTGTAATGAGTGAATTTAATTTTAAATGAAAGGAACTTGTGGGTATATCCTGGAGTAGCTTCATCAGTTTTACATGGAGACTTTGGAGTTTTTTGTTTTAAGATAAGGTCTTGCTCTGTCGCCTAGGCTAGAGTACAGTGGCATGATTGTAGTTCACAGTCATAGCTTATTGTAGCTTTGAACTCCTGGGCTGAAGTGATCCTCCTGCTTCAGCCTCCCAAGTGCCAGTCAGCACTTGTATAGGTGCCCACCACTACCATGCCTGTTCTGGAGTTCTTACAATCCACAAAGGAGACGGTTGAGAGCAGAAAGATGGGATTTTTGCTGGCCCCCAAAGGTGGGGGAAATGTAAATAAATTAATACATAGTTTCTCTCTTCTTATCTGTAAAGTAGCCTATTAATAATGCCAGAAAAGATTGTCATCTAAAAACATGGAATGGGCTCAGTGCCTGTAGCTCAGCGGCTAGGGCGCCAGCCACATACACCAGAACTGGGGGTGGGGGTGGGGTTTGAATCCAGCTGAGGCAAGAGAATTACTTAAGCCTAAGAGTTTTAGGTTGCTATGAGTTGTGACTCCATGGCACTCCACCTAGGGCGACATAGTGAGACTCTGTCTCAATAAATAAAAACATGGGGTGGTACCAGGTATGGTGGCTCATGCCTGTAATCCCAGCACTCTGGGAGGCTGAGGTGGGAAGATTGCATGAACTCCCCCCCTCCTTTTTTTAAATAGCTGGGTACTGTGGTGGGCACCTGTAGTTCCAGCTATTGGGGAGGCCAAGGCAAGAGGATCACTGGAGCCCAGGAGTTAGAGGTTGCTGTGAGCTATGGCACTCCACTGAGGGTGATAAAATGAGACTGTCGGTGGTGCCTGTAGCTCAAGCAACGAAGGCACTAGCCACATACACTTAAGCTGGCGGGTTTGAATCCAACCTGGGCCTACCAAACAATAATGAGAACTACAACCAAAAACTAGCCAGGCGTTGTGGTGGGTGCCGGTAGTCCCAGCTTCTTGGGAGGCTGAGGCAAGAGAATTGCTTAGGCCTAGGAGTGGGAGGTTGCTGTGAGCTATGACAGCACTCTACCCAGGGGGATAGCTTGAGGTTCTGTCTCAAAAAAAAAAAAAAAAAGAGAGAGAGAGAGACAGAGACTCTGTCTCCAAAAATAAAATAAAAACTTGGGATGAAATAGGCATATTAAAGAAAAACTATGTGGGCTCCTTTTCTCCTTAGGTAAATGAGCTAAAAGAGAAGGGCAACAAGGCCCTGAGTGCTGGTAACATTGATGACGCCTTACAGTGTTACTCTGAAGCCATTAAGTTGGATCCCCAGAACCATGTGCTCTACAGCAATCGTTCTGCAGCCTATGCCAAGAAAGGAGACTACCAGAAGGCTTATGAGGATGGCTGCAAGACAGTTGACTTAAAACCTGACTGGGGCAAGGTAAGCTGTGGGAAGGGAGGGATGAATCATCAGACCTTCCCCAGGAGTGCCTTTTGATAGTCACACTCAAGCCTCCTGACCTTCCTGGTTGCCTTTCCCAATCAACTGATAATCACCCACCTGCCACTTTCCTATTAATAAAAGTATACTCCTCAGAAAGTGGCATGCTTCATCAGATCTGAGATGTAGTGTAATATAGGCACCATTTGTTATACTACTGATAAAGAAAATGCTGCCAAAGAAACGGATGCTACTAGATCAAAGAGGAATTGGGGAGGGAAGGCTGAATTCTCAGAGTGTCTTCTGGGTTGGCATTATATCCTACTCCTCTCTTTTTTCTCACTGGCCTTCATGTGAGTGTCCAATTTGGTCCCTGAAGTGTAGAGTAATTTCTTTTGTGTTCATCTTCTGGATTTATCTCTACATGTCTTTTATTTAACATTTCGTGTTTTTCCTTGCTGGTTTAAGGGTTATTCTCGAAAAGCAGCAGCTCTTGAATTCTTAAACCGATTTGAAGAAGCCAAACGAACCTATGAGGAGGGCTTAAAACATGAAGCCAATAACCCTCAGCTCAAAGAGGGTTTACAGAACATGGAGGCCAGGTTAGCAGGTAGGTACCATGTATACTGTCATCTTTCTTTTTTTTTTTTCTTTCTTTATTCCTTCCTTCCTTTTTTGAGACACAATCTCACTTTGTCACACTTGGTAGAGTGCTGTGGTGTCATAGCTCACAGCAACCTCCAACTCTTGGGCTCGAGCAATCCTCTTATCTCAGTTTTGGTTTTTTTTTTTTTTTTTGGCCGGGGCTGGGTTTGAACCCGCCACCTCCAGCATATGGGGCCAGCGCCCTACTCCTTTGAGCCACAGGCGCTCAGCCTCAGTTTTTCA